TTGTTTCATACCACAGGAGCAACATGGCATCCAATTATCTTATCCTTTGCTGGTAGAAGAACTACAACCAAGGTACCCAATTAACAGTTTTTAAGCTTGTGAAACTAGTCTCACATAATTAGCATCCAGAGAATGAAAGAAGCTATTTTAGCAAACAAAGCGAGACTCAAGCTTTTAAACAAGGTATTTCTGGTTGCTACCTTTCTTTTGCTCCTCCTGCTTCAGTTTAATCCTTGTTATAGAAGAAGATGATATTCCCTCAAAATCCCAAAGAAAGATTATTATCAGAGATAATTTCAACATATTATGGGAAGGCTCCATCCAGTCAAACTTCTAGAGACAGGGACCATTCAAATTTGATGATTTGTTAATGGAAGCTGTGGGTTCTTTCAATTCAGCACCAGTCAGCTACAAATAAATTATGTGGGTGGCATGTATTCAAACAGTCATTTGGACACCATTTAAGAAAGCTCAAATACAAGAACAACAGTGCCAGGATAACAAAGAAAGTGCAGTTGCAGACAGTATGAGAGAGTTACAGTCTGGCAGTTCAGGGTGAATTGTTTTCAGAATTTTGATGCTGCTAAAAATAACTGAGTGTCTAGTACTTTCATGTCTTGGTAGTAGTGGATCTCGTATTGTACTCTGGTTTTCCCCCTCTCATAAGATATTCACGATATTCAAGCAACACTTAGGGTGACAGATAGTTCTAATGGGTAACTGTGCTGTAGCACTGCAAAATGCCACCAAATGATACGAAAAGAGCTCAGGGTCTACTTGTGCCAGACCTCAAATCTCTCTTCACAGGGCAAGTATCAGGCAGTATTATAGCACCTTCCTCTACTTCGTGGCCGAGAGACAATCATAGAATTGTTTAGGTTGGAAAAGCCCTTTAAGATCATCAAGTCCAACCATTAAGCTAACCCTGCCAATAAGCCAGCCCGACGGACCTGCTGCTGCACCAAACATTACAAAGCCCAACGCAGTATGTACAGTTCCAGAAAGAAGCTACACAAAATAAGCAATTCCTTTTCCTGCTCCTTTGTTTCCCCTTGCCTTAGCACAATGCATTCTAACAGAGAATTGAGATCAGAAAAAAATATGCAAGCCAGACAAATCCTGAAGCTGCAAACACATACAAAAAACGTCCGTAGGTAGTAAATGGCTGAAGTCATTTGCCAATATACCTTTTATATCTGAACCCTGTTAGAAGGAGGATGAGGAGGAAACCAGGCAGTAGTACCTCAAACGTCTACATTTCAGAAGTCATTGATATTCCTTGGGCAACCACATGGCTTATTTAAAGATAAATATGTTATTCAGAGGTACAACTGCAGAACGCCTCACACACTGGTGCCCTAAAAGGACAATGTTTTAAACTGGATCTTTAAGATACGGTTAGTGACCTTCTCTACTTAAGCCACTATAAAAGTTGCTGAGACAGACACATGCTTACAGCTTAAAACCCAATACTCGTGGCAAGAATGACAAAATTAGCAAAAAAAACCAAATGAAACACACATAAACCCCCAGGAAAAACAGTATTAAACAGATGTTTCCAACCACCAAGCGCCTAAAGCAGGCAATAGTGAACAGACACTGGGTGACACAAAAGGTTGTCACTATTTTTCTTTTTTAAAACTCTATGCTTTTCAGCAGTATATTTAACTTTTATAGTTGTCCCACCAAAACAGTTTGGCAGATGAGTCTACAGATAGCATTTTTGGTTGGTTTGTTTTTTTTTTTTCCTCTTTTTACAGTACGGAAGTCCTCTAAACATTTGCATCAATCTCCAGACCAACAGCTGTCTGTAAAAGTCAAACACGTCTGGCCACGTTCTGGGGCATCTGAGAGAGTTCCATTGATTTCAAGTGAGCTTGCTGATTTAGCCTACTGAAGAACCTAGCATCATCCGATTAGGTTAAGTAAATTGATTTTTGAATCCTGACTATTTGCAAAAACCTTATGAACAACCTGGAGACTTTCCACCCAAGAAAGGGTAGAAATTAGATGGTCAAGAGCGTTATTAATACATTTATTTTTTTTTAAATCAATTTCCTCACGAACAACTCACACAAAAGCAACAAAATTTGTTCGCTAAATTATTCATTACAAATTACTGAACCAGGTTCTTCGGTAGTATAAGAAGCGGCAGCTCCAGTAAGAGCAGGAAGAATTACAGCTGCTAAGAAACAGAGAATACAAGTATAGGTGCCGTAGGAATTCACTTCTGCTTTTCCAGAGCTATTTGTGAAAACATTTCGTGGAAGATGGGAAGCAGGAAGATGGGAAGCAGAAGGGGAACAGACTGGTGGTGGAAGCTGTCTGTCGACTCTGAAGAGCACAGGCACTAACAGGACACCACCACCATGCTCGTCAAAAGCCCATGGAAGCTATGCCTGCCTAAAGCCCTGCCCCAACCTTTGCCAAGGCAGAGACTAAATTCAACAATAACTGAAAATGCTGCCTTTTTTCTCCTTTCTGTCCAATCCTAGATCTCTTTACTGATGCTAATAAAGGGACTAGATTTCATGATTACAGGTAGCTTCCCGAGGAAATTAGTTGATACAGTCATACCCTATGCATTTGTACAGCCTAATGACTTTCAGGTTCTACTGCAAAACCTGGTAAAAATGCCACCGAGAGGCCACAAAGATATTTAATTCCCAGAAGTTTTATGCAAATAGATGGTTGCATGATGAGACTAATAAGACTTTTCATATTCTCACCATGGGAAAAGCTGCAGCATGAGAATTTCCCTCCTTTATACACCTTGAAATCCCCACCGGAGAGAAGTTAAGAACTTCCACTTGCAGGAAAAGCTTTGATCAATGCTTGCACGTTATTAGAACCCAGAAAACCCTATTACTAGCCACAAATCCACAGAAAAATCAATCAAATTCCATTTGTTTATGGCTATAGGAACAACTAGCAATATCTGTCAGGCTACACCAAATAATTCATCGTATGTCAGCAAAGAGCTCACAAATAGAGGCTGCATTCATCTATAAGCAGACACGTGACTTGATGCACTAAATCTGGAAGGTGCTGTGTCCCTGGCATTAACACCACAGAGTCCTCAAATATTTCATAAGAGTATTTTTTTAGGGTAGTTTATAACTCCTTACAGATGTCGTGATGCAAAGCATCAGCACGAAAATTCAGGAGCATTCATCTCTAATGAGAAACAACTTAGTTAATGAAGTTAGAGTACATACACATATTTCAAGAAATAGTACATTTGCCATTAAATTATGCTGACTAAACAAATACAGAACCAGTAAGACTAAAACATAATTGTGAGCAAACATGTAAGAAAGTTCCACCCAGCATCCCAGCACTGCCACATGTTTTTTCTGCAGAGTCCTGGGCCAAGCTGAACTGAAAGGATGAGACAGAGCACCCAACCCGACCACCATCTCAGCCCGTACAGTAAAGTGGCACCCAGGCACCTCGTTAACCAGCAGCTCGTCAGCAAAGGCCTACATAAGCTGTACATGCATAAGGATTCAAACACCTTCCAGCTCTACAATCAGAAAAGCAATGATGCTAACTCCTACCTTTGACTTAGGACAGCCTAAGTAATGCATCCTACAGAAACTGTTGGCATTTGCAAAGGGGAAGGGGTTTCCAAGAGGACCCTGACATCAGGAGGCGTGTAGGCTTGCTTTCCCACCCCATCCCCCTTTCTTCAAGCCATCAATAAACCTCAAAGGTTACATTTTTAATATGCCATGACTTGGAATGGCATTACTGAAGACAGATCATATGGTCCCGTAAAATAAACGTGCAACATTCTTGAGAGGAAAGTATCTAGGCACCAGGCAAGCTGCTGCATTTGGAACTACCTGCTAAATATCAGGAAGCAAATTAAAAACTGTGTGTGGGACCGTTTCTGTGCTCTTATCCCAATAGTCATTAGCTAGCAGAAAAACTTTTAACTGCAGATGCTAACACTATGCTTGAAAATATTTTATTAGAGAAGACAGTAATCAATCATCAGTGCAGTAATAAAATCTTAACTGTACCTGCGGCTTCCAACTACAGTATTTTGGTTTTGAGAACCCCAAAGCATTTCAAAGGTGGTTAATCACAGCACCCTCACCACAGCCCCAGAGGCAATTTTCCTTTCTGTTCCAGAGAACAAACGCCGGAGCAGGAAGGTTGCAATCATCGGTGCAATGTTTGCCCAGACAGAAATGCTTTCCAGACATCTTGAATCTCTGTCCCTCATTTTAAAGATTAGACTCCTAAATGCCGTCTGATGTTTGATATTTTCTTTTCTTTTAGCAGTACACCGCATTTCTAGCCTTCCTGATTGTCAGCGCTGCTTTGATACAAAATACATGGTTCTTCCCTCACATTAAGTGATTATCCTGGGGATAAAATCAGGAAATTCCCTCATTCTCCTCAGAATGCAGGAAACAAGGGAACATTAAGATTTAATATCACCTCATCAGTAGTCTGCAGGGCTGATAAGAAAAAAGTCTGTAAGGTTGCTACTCCAGTCTTTGGAAGCTCTTAGCCACATTAAAATAAAAACAAGGTCTTTTACTATAATTAAACATGTTTTATTAAAGCTTTCCCTCATTTTCCCTCCTTTGCTTCTTTCCCCCCTCCTAGTTTTTACATCTTCTTTCATTCCAACCCTTTGATGTTTGCATGCTTTTCATACTTTTATCAAGAACATCCCACCTCGCCCCATTTTAGAGGGATACATTTTTCCTGTGCCTGACTTTGCCTCTGCCCTCTACAGCTCAGTGCGAGCATCGGGAACACACGCTCTGATGATAGTGTTCGTTACAAAGCGGCAATGAACAAAACACCTTCCATCTCCTCCATTTCTTTTGTCTCTCACCTACACAGGTTCCCCATGACAGAAACATTTATTAAAAAAAAAAAAAAAAAAAAAAAATTGAATCCGTCCTTTCAATTGTCTAGTTAGTGCAATGTTACCATTAAAAGGAAAATAAAATAAGTTTGGGTCCTTCTTTACTTACATGTGTCTAAAGACTCATCTGAATCATCGGGGCAATCGGGCTCTCCATCACACAGCCAGTGCTGGGAGATACAAGTCACGCGATCACGACACAGAAACTCTCCTACGTCACACAACTGATGTTCTTCTGAAAAGGAGAATGGTTTAGAATGCAATGATTAAAAATGAAGGAAAATAAAGTGGCACAATGAAAACAAAAAGCGAAAATAAAGTGATTCCGAAATCAGAAATCAAAGCAGACAACAGAAACAACATGAAGCAATAATTTAATGAGCTATCCAGTGCCCTTACTTAGGCTGCAGAGCCCTAACGTCCAGCTGCCGTGCTCCGGTGGGAGCATCCCACAATCATTCCAACCAGACATGAACAGCATTGGCATAAACTACCCCTGTGAAATAAAATCTTAAGAAATTCTATTTTTCTCTATTTCACCATGAAATAAATCTGTTACGATACTCGCTTCTTCGTCTGATGTGTCAACCAGCAATTAGCATGATAACAAAACCCCCTGTTCTCCTCAGGACAACTCAACTGGCCTTGTGAACAAAATACCTATTTTGAAGGCTCTCTCTATATGTTGTGGTGCCTAATCACTGTACGACGTCATGTTTCTAAACATACTTGTAAAGCTGACCCCGAGCTTCAAAGGAAAACTCGTATGGCACAATTCTGGGGACATCCATGTATTATAGGAATTAACAACGGGAACGCTTTGTTAAGATTAACCTGTTGTCTCATACGTGCAAGGTCAGTCTCTAAAACTGTTGATGGCTACAGTTTGAAACCAGTCAAAGTTGCAACTACCACATGGATGCATTTCATATCGCTTCACCCAGCTGCAACGCGGCTTCTCGAGAACTGTGTAGGAATCACGGCACTTTTGTTATCTTTTAATTCCTTGCATATACTACCACAGCAAACAGCACTCAGTCAAGTAAGTCGCTTATCTTTGTAAAAAATGAGCGACCATATAATTAAAAGTGTAAGTTCACATGCACGTGAAAGTGGTTTTCTTAAATCTTTCAGGGAGATGATTAAAGGTCCTGCTTTGATAGTGCCTCTCAAAAAACCATCTTGGAAGTTAGAAAGAGGGAGGGAGTTTGGTGAGTTTCAGCATTTCGAAGATACGCAGTAGTGTGAGCAAAACCTCTGGGTGAAGAACCGTTTAATATTTGCTTTTATAATATTCTTGAAATCCGCCTTATCTTTTTGTTTCTTTATGAAACCTTGTACTACAGCTTGAACTGCCATTATGTGTCTAACATGTCTGTTTGTAACAGACCAGGGAATATTAAAACTAGCACAAAACCAGTTGTCTACCAAGTCTACTTATTTATACCACTCACGAGTGGTTATTTCTCAGAGGAAAAAAATAGTTGAAATGGCTAATTGCCTGTATTAAGGTTTGTAAGACCAAATTATTTCAAACTAGATTTTTCTAATTTTTTTTAATAGATTTCAGAACTGACAGCTAAGTGAAAGAAAGGTTAATGAATAAACAGAAGAATATAAAGCTGTGAAAACACTGATGCGAATTTACACAAGTTTGAGATGAACCTACTCAGTTACCGACATGCAAAATTCCTATAGAAAAAAAAAAAAAACAAACAACTTCGTTTTTCTCCTAAGTCCTGTCAATAATTGGGTAAAAGGAGAAATCAATTCTGCCATTAATGCCAAAATGTAATACTGCAGGTCTAATTATATAGAGCAGAGCCCAAGGTTAAGAAAATCACATTTAAAGCCAATGAAGAATTTCAGTCTAGTTTGTAAACAAACCTTACAGCGATGCCAATGAAATCACGGTGAAACCTGCAGAACTGCTCTTTTGGAGCTTTTGGGTACAATGTCTATAGTAAACCCTGTCTGTGAGCCCCGTGGCTGTCACTGAAGAAACCCCAGCAGTACGGGAGGAATCCGGTGCGGAAGGAACAGATCCCCATTCTACACGGTCCTTAACATCGCCCCCTCGGAAATGCAAGATGTAACGCAGAGAGACAGACAACCAGGAAAGCCACACAACCCTTAATTTAAAAAACATTCCCCTCTGCAACATTCCCTTATGTTTTATACTTTTATCTGTAATAAAATCCCTTTTCGCTACTCAATGTCAACGCCAGTTAAAGTTCCTCCAGACAGCGCTACTGCCGGCCGCAATGAACAGGAACCCGACGGAAACCTCTGAGTAACGCCACAAATGCCCACGTAAATGGCATGTGAACGAGGAGATATCTGGAACAGCGAAGTACCCTACCACCATGCTCAAGGGTAATGAGAGCCTTGACACAAAAAACGTGGTAGGTTTCTGATGGGAAATAAGATAGCAAGCTTTCATTTGGAGGAGAAACATCGATACAGCAGTCGGTAAGCACTGGCATAGGTGATTATCCCTTCCCCCGTCCTGCACCAGGTTTTTCCTAAAGCTGCAGATGCTCACATATGTCTACACAAATAATTTTTTTTTTTTTTTCTTATTTTGGCCAATTTATTTTTTTGGAAAAAAACCAAACTAACTGCACACAAACAAGTTTTTAAAAGCTCCTTCGTACATAGCTGTTTTCAACATGTGTGACTGCAAAAAAAAAGAGGTTTGTTTTCTACTTTTTTTTTTTTAAATTGAAATAATTTCACTATTTCCACACAATTAAACTCCTGCTTGTATTTTATTAAAGACTACAGAAATTATGGATATCTAAGCTTTTCATATTCTCTATCTTGAGAAAAAACTAGCAGAGTGAAAAAAACAATAACTTACGAAACACTAAAAAATAGATCTTGTTTAGAACAAAGCAGATTAATATTAACTTTGGGTTTTATTGGCTCTGAAACTGCTTTTTCAAACTGTTTTCTTTGGCATATCTATAGAACTATCTTTATTTTCAGCTGCTATCTTTACAAAACAAATTGGACCAGCTAATCATAAACATGCACTGATTAGAGGGCTTTAAAAAAAAAAAAACAAAACAAAACAAAAAACAAACCAAAGCACTTCCTAAAATACGGTCATCTAAGATGGCCTTATAAGTGAAGAAAAGACTTCTCTTCAGTACACCCCTCCGCAGGCTGTTTGCCTCTGTATTGTGTGCTGCACAGGCAGGCTCCCAGTGGATGAGAAAATCCACATTTTTAACATACCAATTCTTTGAGATACAGAGCAGATGGTTAGAAATCATCTCTCTATGGGTAAATGAAAGCTTTGGCTCCCTAAGGACAGTACTCCTCCTATCCTATGTTGCAAACACCTGGCGATGCCTCTTAGAAGGAAAGTTTCAAAAGTTGCCTTAAAGTCAATGTTTCTGGAGTCAAAAATGTGTTGGCTTTTGGCGGTTGGTGTTTTTTGTTTTGTTTTTTAAAGATAGGCACATTTTTAAGAGGACAAAGCTCAAAATCTCCATTAGAAAAATTATTACAATTATAATTTTTGTACTTCCACTAAAACTGGAAACCCAAAATTCCATTAGGATGTTAAT